GTTTTCCGTGAAAACGGAACATAAGATGGACAAAGGTCATAATATGTAACACAGAGGGTGAATTGTTATGGACACGAGCAAATGAGAGTTTGTCTTATGTTTGGCCATTCACGGAGTACGCAGTTCGAGTATGAAATCCATGAAATTAAACTTGCAAGGGACATTAAAACACAGCCAATGAAGNTTTGATCGGTGCAATCGCAGGCATGGTCGCGAAAAGCCATAGGTTCGCTTATGCGTTTAAAAACAACCCCAGACACGGACTAGGGTATTGTAGCCGCATTTGAATACCACTTCCAGACAATCTTACGAGTAGGGTCGATCGTAATCAACCTCACAGACGTGAATATTGCAGACCTATGCATCCCTAACTGGATGATACAGCATAATGACTTCCTATATGTGATCTCCGGACTCAACCCGACGAAATCCGCCGGCCCAGACAACCTGCCCCCAGCGGTGTTAAAATCACTAGCACCGGAAATCACTGAACCCTTAACATCACTGTTCAATCAATCGATGTCAACAGGCATAGTGCCGGTTAGTTTGCTATCTAGACTTTCAAGGGGCGTTCGACTCCGTTAACCACGTGCTGCTACTGCATGAATTAAGTGGTACAGGGGACAAGGGAAAGCGGCTAGTGGTGCCCGCAAGGGCCAATTATAGGACCATTCCCCTTCCATATATATTTATCAACGACTTGACCGAGGACGTCGCAAATCCATACCTCATCTACGCAGACGACGTCAAAATAGTTGGCGGCTCGTCCAGTCGTCAACCAATTCAAAACGACTTAGACAGGCTCTCAGCGTGGTTGGTAAGTGGGCTCTGCGGCTGAACGCAACTAAATGTTGTGTTCAAAGCAAAAACTACTCCGGAACCCCCGGCGGCTTACGATCTCAAATCAAGTAGCACATACTCTGAATCAAGAGAGATGTGTCAGGGACCTTGGGATTACAGTCCCAGCCAGCTTTACACCTAGCGATCAATGCGCCGAAGTAGCCCACAAGGCCAGCAGAGCGCTCTTTGCACTCAAAGCTGAAATAACCAGCAGAGAAGCTTATATATTCATCCCTCTTTATATGGCACTCGTCAGACCCCACCTAGAATACGGCGTCGAAGTTTGGGTTACCTATCGAGTAATGGACGGAGACAGGTTAGAAAAAAGTGCAACGGTTAGCCACTGGAATGGCTCGCAAAGCCAAAAGGCTATCCTACGAAGACCGGCTTCAGCACCTGAACCTCTTCTCTATACGTAGGAGACGTTTAAGAGGAAACCTGATTGAATTCTTCAGATAGATGAAGAACGCCGATCTAGGCCTCCTATCTCTGAGAACTACGAGAGAACTAAGAGGCCGCGGATGTCACCTAGAAATGAATAGAGGTGGGTTTTATGTGGGGAAACATTGTTCCACCAACAGGATGATTAACGTCTGGAATCGCCTTCCTGGAAGAATCGTTTAACTAAACACGGGCCGAGACCTTTTCAAAAGTGATCTGAAACAGAAGGGAAATAAGCCCCCTCTTTTATTCTTCCAACCCCTACGTCTGACAGCGTGATGAGGATGCACAGCATGCACACGCAGGAACTCTTACGGTTAGGTGTATGTAAGTCTCTCACCGACAGGGCGAGAAGAGTGTTTGTTCCCTCTCTTTTTCAGCCTTGCCAATAACAGACGCGACAACTACTACATCCGAATCCCACATCGACGGACGGTCGCGGAAATATCAACGGTGCAGCAAGCCAGACAAACATACAGCTCGATCGGTCTATCGACCGGGTTGAACCAAAATGAGAACAGCCACAAGGCCGAGGCCTCTACATACTAAAAAATTGGATTGGATTGAACCAAACTAACCTTTAGTTTACTGATGGAATGCATGTAACAGATACTGCGCCGTTTTCCTTTCCCTTCCACCTTCCAGATATTACTTCCTCGTGGAGAGTCGGAAGAAGCTTTACACTCGCAGATGAGTCGGTCCACAGACGGAACCCGCCATTACCGGGACACCCAACGGGCGAAGGCCTCTCCACGTGACGTGACCGCGCGTGCTTCGAATTTCGGAGTGAAGCGTTCCGCTGTAGAATTAGGCCGACAAGAGAAGGAAACAATCGAGAGTCCAATTTGCTGTTGGAAAATTAGCGGAAGCGCAATTTGTACCGAGCCTTTAGCGCTGGAGATCGGAACTCTAAATCTGGGAGCCACACCTGAGCGGAACCCGGGTGGCAGGACCAACGTGACGAATTCCCGTCCAGGTGAGCTACTAGTCTACAACATTTACTGCCGAGAGGACTACCCAGAGTATCATCGATACTCATACTAGATAGTACGATCAAGGTTGTTACTGTTACCTACACCTAACGGACTATTTTTGACACTCGGATTGCGTTACACCATAAACGGTATTTAACAAGTTATCGCCATAGCGACTAACATACCTATTTTACTGAAAAACCTTAGTAGCCCCTCCGTGAGCTAACTTCACACAATGCCGCGACACACCGCAGAACGCCCGAAAGCCCGGGCTAGTAGAGAAGCAGCTAGGATCGGTCAGACCACAATTCCCCTCAAGACTTTCTCTGTCCCCTTAGTGGATATGTACAGTGATGCAATTAAAATAACTTCCAAGATTGACAGTAGCATCACAAACCTTAAGTGTAGGCTAGAATCCATAGAACTAGTTACTTCAACTCTAGCTCCACTTTATTCCCTCATGGACCCCTCGGCACAACCCATGAGTAACCTCGCTCAGGCTGGGATGTTGCTTGATTCTCTTGCATCGGAATTGTTTAAGCGCATCTCAAACTCAAAACATGCAGTTGTTTTTAATGTGCCAGACAAAATCCCCTTAGCCCAAATTAAAGGCATTATCCTGAAATCCTCNACAGGTACCCATGCAACTGTATTAGACTCCGGAAAAGATTCCAGCGGTACTCATGCCCACGCCTCTTCCAATTTCTAAATAACATCTTAGCAAAGGAGTTTATAGCAAAACGAAACGAGATTGCGAAACATACTTCGTTCAAAAACATAAAAGTCTACCCTGATAATACCCTTCTCTTAAGGGCTATACGGAAAATGACTTTCACTTCTAATTTCCCCAGAGCTAGCCGACAGGCACCCACCCCCGTAGGCCTCAGACTCCAAATGTAGACCTCGATGCATCTTGTTCGAGTTCACCCAAACCTC